TCAGGTGGATGTTGAGAACAGCTTGGATGTGTCTGACAGCTGCTTTTTGTTTCACTTAAAGTATCTCTTTGCCCTTCATGCAGTTACTGAGCAGTCCTGTCTGTTACTGTAGAATATAGAGATTGATACAATAAATATTGGCATCATTTTCTACTCCTGGCGGGTCTATTTTGGCGAAAAAAAAGTTGTGAATAACACAAGTTTTTTTTGTAAGAGAGACCTGACATCTTCAGGTTGAGTCTTCTTAATGAAACTATCAGGAATACTTCTGTTTCTAGAGGACAGTGTCTATCACTGACCTTATCAGCAAATGCCTTTATTTGCTCTGTACACACATGAGCGAAATATAATGTTAACTCAGCCAAGCTTTTAATAAAATGTGCTCTGCACTGAAATTCAGCTGACAGAATTGTTTGGAGCAGTCTCTAAATGTGCTGCACGTTGAGCAGAAGTTTTGCAGCTATAACCAAATCTCATTTGCTTTTTGGAACAACTGCCATAATTTGTCATCTTGTGAAACTTTAAGAAATAAAGATGCTTTCATGCATTTAATGTTTATTTGCTGTTAACTATTAAAACCCCATAAATTTTGCTACTGTACGTACTATAAAACTTAAAAAGGCATATTAAATATGGAAGGTGGTGACAACTTCCATTGGTATCTGCCTAAAAAACTTCAGGCCTTTCCCAAAATTCACTGAACCTATTGCTTTGATTATAGTAAAATATTCCATTTTATTTGCTTATAATTAAGGAAAAGGTTGAGAGAGAAGAACTTGCTGTTCTTGGACATAGCCTAAAGAGGGCTTTTTTTTTTTTTTTTTTTAGAAAGATTGAGAAATAAAGTCTTTATTTCCTGGATTGAGAAAGAACAGAAAAGGCTCTGTGTGTTTGTAAATATATTGCATTGCACAATGTTCTTCACTCATTAACCATGTGGAAATCATAGGAAGGGAATGAAATACCACGTGGAATTTCTTAGTGAAAATACATTTGTTCTAAACCTGATTGAAGCATCACCTCAGAAGAGACAGATTAGCAGCAGTGATGAATTTGCAGGTTTCTCAGAGTTGTGCTGCCTTCCTGAAGCCCGTGAGGTTTCCGTTTGAAATTCTAAAATTGATTTAACCAGGTTGTTTTTTGCAGTAGTTGTTATTCTTGCACGCTTTGGTTCAGATCTTTGCAGTAAAGAAGCGACCTGGGCCCCTCATTTCCCAGTGGGAAGCTGGGGTGCAGGATTTCAGTGAGTAGCAGCAGCAGCAGATTTCTCCTGCCAGGCTGTAATCTCTGGATAATAGAAACCCTGACGCACACCCTGAACTCCAGCTCTGCGCTGGCACTGCCATCCCGTTGATAAACATGCCAGCTGAGCTCTGTTAGGCACAACATAATGGCTTTGTGTATCTTGTCATGATATTTGTTCCCCGGGATAAAATATGGGCCCTGCAAGTAACACACACGCAAACATTAACATGCTTGTTCCTTGTTCTTCCTGGGTTATTTATAGCTCCCTGTTTACAGGCTGGAGCAGGGATACTGCAGGATCTAATGCATTGCATCAAATTATAAAATGGTATTAGGAGGCCTTGTGCTGTGGCTGGTCAATAGCCATGGAAACCACTTCATAAAATATAACTGTGTCTGTCAGCACCGGCTGCAAGCCATGGGATTTCCTAAAGCTGCTTCCCAGCCATCGTTATCCAGAGCGTTTTTTTTTAATTGTGCCACAGTTTGTCATCAGTGAACAGCACAAACAGCAGTGCTGACAGAACCCTGTCATAAGGAATGCTCGAAACTTAAACACAAGTGGCAAAATTGAAACGTTTGTCCTAAAAAAATCCCAATTCTCTACCTGTAAAAATTAAACCATTTGTGCTCTAGAGCCGCTTCCACGTCTCATCCAAACTTATCCATAGGTTTGAGCCTCGTTATTCCACCAGCCCTGTACTGTAAGACTATTTTAATTCAGCAGCTGTCGCTCCCAGATGCCTTCTGTGAGCAGCTCAACATCTCCCGCCCCATTAACAGGCAGACACGGAATTTGGTGCCTGTCATCTGTGCAGGGCAGAGCAAATTTAATCAGTGTTGTGCAGTCTGCTTTGCGAGGCGCTGCAGAGCAACAGGTCACTTCTCATTTGGTGTTGCAACTATTGGGTTCTTTCATATTTAAAACCATTTCGAGGCCTGTGTTGGGCTTGGCTTGGAGAAAAGGAGTAGCTGTTCTTGCAGCAGGCCAAGGGAGAGCAGAGCATGATGTCTGAATTAATGGAAGACTAGAACAGGGAGGAAATCTGAAAAATAAATCATTTTAAGCAACCCTTTATTGTTTTGTTAAGCTTTAGAACCTCTGAGTTTCTCAAATTGATTTTTGTGTGCTTTTTGTGTATTAAGAAGTTCATCTCTTTGCTTTCCAAGGGGCACACAACTATTTTGTAGTTGGGTATCTCCCACTGCCTCAATGGCCCAGGCACCAATAAAGGTGACACCATAATTGGCCAAAATTTCAGAATGTCAGAAGGACTGACTTCGTTCCTACTTGGAAATTTGGAACAGCATTTCAAGGTCCCTCTAATTCTGTTATTCCGATGGGCTCTATGCTGGGCTTGCATTCCCCCAGTAGGGATTTTTGATATCCCGTGGGTTCAAATGAAAACAGTTTGTCAAAGGCTTTTTTAATAGAGTTGAATCCCAACACAAAACAAATATAAAATAGTTCGATTAAAGAATCTTAAAAAAAATAAATGGTCTGTTGAGAATTCAGCTGCACCATAATAAGTCTTTGGCAAAATGAGGAATAGGGAATTTTGGGTGTTTTCATTTTAGATTGCACTCTCCTGTCTCCCTGTGCTGTTTCATCCTTGGATGGAGTGTTCCAGCTCTGGTTTCTTCTTATTCCCTACAGCTTTTCCTGTCACCTTTTCCTGTGTATGCTGTTAACTGATGCTGCAAAAGCACCGTCCCTCTGATACAGCCCAGGAGGCAGTGATGGCAGAGCCAGGAACTGAGCTGCATCCTCCAGTTCCCTGTGGATTGATTGCCTGCTTTTAAATGTTTCTTCATTTAGTTGCTTTTTCATTCTTTGTGATGAGCTGCAGACAGGAATTATATCTCTCTTTGGGATATTGGGAGTGGTGTGAGGGCACCAGCCAGAGGTTTGTGGTGCCAGGGGCGTGATCCACCTTCCCCTCGGCATAATGGGAATTCCTTGGTAAAATTCACATGGTAAAAATGAGGAGTATGTTTGTGCATTAGGGACCAGTTACACACTGTAGGCACTCGATATCTTGCTCTCTAGATATTTGTGTGACTTCTGCCTGTGTCTGGGGGGGCTGGTACTTTGCTCTTAGCAAAATTTTCCGTGTTCAGGAGCCCAGGTGCCCCCAGTGCTCAAATCCCAAGTGCTGTGTTGGCTGGTTTGAAAGGAGCAGGTGGGGATGAGTAAATCATGCACTGGAAGGGACTGTAATCTCCAAGCCTTTACAACTGGTGGTTAATTCTCGTCTCCGTGCCCCCAGGCACGTTCTTGGCGAACTCTGCAGTCCTGCTGGTTTTGAGGGTCAGGGTTGGGTGAGGATAGAACCCTGTGGGAGCAGATCTGCAAAATAATGTGCGTGAGGTTCCAAAGGGCCTGTTCCCTCCTCTCCAGGACTGTGGTGGGAGCTGCTGAGGTGCAGAGTCCTCTGTTTGAGCAGCGAATTACCCTTTCTGGGATTCCTTATGCCCTTCACAACATGGAAGCCTCTAATCGCTGCCCACCTCCTTCACACAGATGTTTGTTAAAAAGGTGTGATCCGAAATACATTGTCAACTTATTTCTTTTTAGGGAATTACTAATTCTCAACTCCCTCCCGTCTCTGGAATATTAGGGCCCACATACTCCACATCCCTTATCTTTTTTGCAGTCAGTATGTGGTATTTGCCTGTTTCTTTTTATTGGGGAATCACTAATTCTCAGCTCCTTCTCTTTTCTGGAATATAGGGCCCACATGCTGAACATCACTTATCTTTCTTGCAGGCAGAATTTGATGTTCGCTTGTTGTTTATACCTGTGTATAATGTGTATAGGAAAGGAAAAGCTTTTTTTTTTCTCGTTTCTTTTTAGGGAATTACTAATTCCCAAGTCCCTCCCTTCTCTGGAATATTAGGGCCCACATACTCAACATCCCTTGTCTTTTTTGCAGGCAGAATTTGGTGTTCGCTCATTGTTCATACCTGTGTATGCTGTTTATGGGAAAGGAGAAAGCCCCTCTTTTTATTTATTATTTTTTTGCTGTTTATAGAAAAGGAAGAAGTCCTCCTAGGGGAGGACTGGTCTTTTCCATAGAAGAGAGACTTTTAGTCTTAAATGTCTTGGTGCTGGTTCTTAAATCTCCTGGTGGTGGCTTTTGAGTGTCCTGGTGGTGGTTTTTGAGGGTCCCGGTGGAGGTTTTTGAGTGTCCTGGTGGAGGTTTTTGAGGGTCCTGGCGGTGGTTGGTGTTGGGGGTGCAGGTGAGAGGGTCGTCACCGGGTCCCAGCGCTGCGGGCAGGGGGTGGGTGACACCCGGCCATGGATTTACCACACGAAGGTGCTGGTAAAAAGGAGGAGGAAGAGGAGCAGGGCAGGGAGCGGTGCCGGAGGCCGAAGGGTTATTCGGGGTTGGGAGTGTTGCTGAGGGGAAACGCGAGGGGCTGAGGGGAGACGTGAGGGGAGGCGGCTGCGAGGCAGCGGCTGCTCGGAGCGAGGGAAGGGGGGGCCGGCGCCGCTACCGAGCCCGGGGCCGGGGCGGGCGGGACCCGGCGGCGGCTCCTCCGCGGCTCTTCCCCGGCTGTGCCCGGGCTCGGGGCCCCGCGGGCGGCGGAGGGGGGGGCCGGCGATCCAGGCCGCCTTTTGCGGCGCGCCCCGCGGGTGCCGCCCGCCCAGCCCCGCCGCCATCACACGCTGGGCGGCCGCCGCCTCGCGCCCGGCCCTCGGCTGCTCCGCTCGGCTCCGCTCCGCGCCCGGGCTCGGCTCTGGGCTCGGCTCCGCGCTCCCGGGCTCGGCCGCCGCTCCGAGCCCCCCGGAGGAGGAACGCGGGGGGCTTTGCGAGGATTTAACCCCTGCGGCACCTGCTCGGCAGCGGCTCCCGCGCCCCCCGAGCCCGGCGCTGCGCATTTCCCTCGGCCGCCGCTTCCCGCGGCCGGGGAGCTGACCCCGGGGAGGACGGGCTGTGCTGCGGTGTCCCCCAGCTCCGAACGCTGGAAGTTTGACGTGGAAGGGGATGCGGTCGGAATTTTTCGGTGTGTTTTCAAAGCCCTTTTTCCCCCCCCACCCCGTTCGCAGCCGCCGTGTAGGTGCGTTCGCTTCCACCGACAGACCTTCGGCTCCCGGCGCTGCTCGGCTCTTGTGCTGATTTAAACCAGCTTTTTTTGGGGTTTTTTACCTTTTTTTTTTAATTTTTTTTTTTTTTGCTTTTGCTGACACGCTGTTTTTTGTTATCTTTTACCACAGAAACGTTTTATTAAGGGGTTGAGGCAGTACGGCAAGAACTTCTTCAGAATCCGAAAGGAGTTGCTTCCCAATAAGGAGACCGTGAGTACATTTGGACTTTATGTAATTTGCTTTTTTCTCTCTCTCGCTGCTTCGCTGTTTGATCTTACGGAACTCTTTCCTTTTCACCCGGAATTCTCTTCGGATAAATGGAAGGCAGACCCACAGCCAGACAAGGTAGCCTTTAAATTTCAGCGCAGTTTTTTTAGGTCTTGGGGCACGAAAGATGTTACATAAAATAGTCGTCATGGCTGGACGGAGTCGCCGAGGTTGGGTTGAAGTGTATTTATGGGAGACCAGATCTAATTTTAAATTCTGACATTATGACGGGGATAATACATTTATGTCACCCGGCCGGGCTCAAATGGCATTGGGTAATTAAAGGAAGCCTAAAACAAAACAAGATCTAATTGAATCGGGAAGCCTGAGGTATGTGCCTGCTCCTGTGACCCGCAGGATTCGCTGGTTGGGTTTTAACCCTTCACCTTCCCGAACCGTGGAAGTTCTGCTGGGGAATCGATCCGTGGTTCATCTCTCTCCCGAACTTCATCAGGTTTACGTAACTGTCATTCCAGGGAAAATCCTGGCAAGGGCCTCCCGGGGAGATGGACCGGGAGGAGTGGTCGCCTCCTTCAAAGGAGAAGAGGCTTTGGGAAACCTTGGGGATCCAGTTACTGCTCCGTTAGTCCTAATCAAGCTTCCCTAAAAGCTTCGGTTTCTGTTCTGCAGGTGTCATTTAACAGCTGGGAGAGGTTTTCATTTCTGTTCTGAATTTAGAAAGGAGGTAACTCCCTGGAAATGGAGTTAGGTTATTTTCTAGCAGTGTGTTAGCGATCTGGAAAATATTTATTTGAAGCATAACTGGTTGTTTGGACTTCTGTAGGTGTGGAGTTTGGACGTGCAGTGGGGAAGAGCATTACTGTAAAAATATTTAACAATCTGTCACTTGCTGTGGGATGTTTCCATTCTCCTCTGAGATGTTCTTGTGAGACAGTGCTGTGATAACACAGTCTTTTGGTGGTAAATAGTAACACTGAATAAGGCAAATAGGAAGGGGAGGATGAAACAATTCCTGGACTTACATGTTCATGGATTCTGTTGAGAAAGAAAACTTAATTACTGACTGAGTGTTGGTAGACTTTGCTTTAGTATTCTGTCGGATTTTGAGGCATGAAGGCCTAGTGCTGGAAAGATGACAGCTTAGAAGGAATGCTGAAAAGCTGTGGATCTTACAACATCTAACAAATCCAGCACATGGCTGAATCAGTTCTTTCCTCTTTTCTTCAATCTCTCCTCGAATGGATTTAGAACAAATTTAGAAATTAATTCTGCTCATGGTAACGTTACTGAGAGGCAAAAGTACTCTTGTAAGTTTGAATTACAGCAATTGTGAAATATATCTTTTTTTAAAAAAAACTTACATTTTATGTTTAAAACATAAATTTATTTTTGTGAAGGAGAAAAACATTTTTTCAGGGGGGAAGGAAAAGAAAAACTGAAGAACAGAGTTGGGGGCAGGTGTCTGCCCGTGTTTGTGCTGCTTGATTTCTCCATTGGAGCTTGGATATCAGGCCTCAGGCTTTTTCTAAAAGTTTTGCAAGTGGTGTTAAACCTCATATAAGCTATCACTTTACAAGTGCTATGTTTTTGTTTAATTAGGTCTAATTTTTGAGTACAGAGAAGACTAAATATTAAGTCTGAGCCATGGGAAGCATCATGTTGATGGGTTTGGGCTCGTTTTTTTAGCCCCTTGTGGTAACTGATCTACAAATAACCTTTGACCTGCAGCGGGTTGTTTATAATCTCTGCTTCCTATTTTTGCCCACAGGCCTCACTTCTGCTTTCTTTTAATTCCCAGTTTTTTTCAGCCCCAATTTACAGCAGCTTTGCTGTAGGAAGACGTTGCAGAATAAAGGCTGCAGTAAATACTGGACTGTCCAGCTTTGCTTTTCTTCCTTTAAGTGGAATAATGAGTAATGTCAGTGACAAGGCCGTGGAATTTATTTGTCCATCTTTTTTCATCACCAGAATAATTTCAGATACCTTGCCTGCCATTTTTTTATTGCAGTGTGAAGCAATCCTGTGGTAATTCCAGAAATAACTAGAAAAAGGTCTTATTCTCCTGTTTGCCCTCCATATTAAGATGAGGTGAAACTCCCCCCAAAAATTATTATATGGATACAAAAGCAGTGAAGCACCTTCCAGATATTTAAAAATGTGTCAGGGGCATTCTTGGAGTGACTTACCCTAATATCTGAATACATCTAATTTATAAAGTTTACTTTCCTGGTCACTGAAGCCTGTGGGGAGGAGAGCCAGGATTTTTGCTTCTGCAAACCCCACTGAAAGTTAAACCTCCTTATTATCATGATTTTTGTACAATATGTGCCTTTTCTAAACTCTTAAATTTCTGCCCCTGTCACTGGGGGAGAGCTCTCCCCAATATCACCTTAAACCCCGTGGTTGGAACATGAAAAGAGGAGAAGATAAGGAATACAATAAAAATACAGAATCCTTGTAGAGACCAGGCCTATTTTATATGAAGTCAAGCTGAGGCTGCTGTGCAGAAAGTCTGAATATAGAGATGAACATGACATTGTATTTCTTTTGTGGTATTGGAAGGTGTAAAGTGGCCGTGGTGAGATGAGAATTAGGCCATCCTGTACTGAATTTCACAAGTGTGTTAAGGAATGTCCTATTTGAGTTGTGCCTTGGCTTTTTTTATTCCTCCACAGTTAACATGCAGTATCTTCTAAGAAAACCTTCTGTTTGTCCATGTGTGTTTTAATTAGTTTAACACGATTTTCAACATTTTTAATGGTTTATTCTAAAGGAATAATCACCAAGCCAAAAGCTTCGTGGAAGAAAACATTTATTCCATATCAAAGGTGTGTTTGTTTAGCACTTCACTCTTCCAGCCTATTTCAAATTTTCACTTTATTCCCATGTTTATGACCAAGAGAGATTCCCAGTGGACATGAGAGTAAAGAGCTGTAGCATTTCCTTCAGGCTTTTTTACATAAGAGGCACAGGAACTGAAATCATCTGTTACCTGGCCATGCCTTGGGCTGAAGTGGGAATGCTGACATGGATCAAGGCAGGCCAGTAGCTTTAAGGAATAAAGGAATATCAGTGAGTGTTAACCTTCTCATTCTCCAGAGAAAAAGTGCCTCCCTGTGAGATTTTAAACTAAAATCTCTGAAACTTCCTTGGGTTTTCATTGAACTGTCTTAAATAGACCTTCTCCTCCATTCCAGTGTTCCTTCCATCCTTTCCCCTTCCTCCTGAACAGTTTTCCCTTTGGTTGTAGCTGTGGTTGACTGACCCAGCTGATGAACTGTGCTGCTCTCCTTTGCTTCATGCTTGGCAGAACTTTGGATTCTTCTGCATGGTGAGCCAAGAAGTGAATTTTGGAGGTTAAATTCCCATGTTGTGAGAATGGAAGGTACACAGCTGGCAGCAGTTTTTCTGAGTATCTGATTTGGCTTTAAATGTGGTTTTCGTTCCCCCCCTCCCCCTCACGTTGGGATAATTTGCTAAAACTTTGTGATAATACAGGATTTTCCAAGTATTTAACATTCTGCTCTGAATTCTTTAGGTGATTACACTGAGCTACTTGAATTGGAGAGTTTTAGGAGCACCAGCAGTTGTGATAGGCCTGAGATAAAGGTACTTAAATGCCTCAGAGGCCGGGAATTGCCTCATTGTGTTCATGGAAATGGCTTAACTCTGTGTTGGCTACGAGCAGGAGGTAAATAGAAACACAGAATGAACTTGAGCTCGTGCAGAGCAGGAGAAGGAGGAGGCCAGGCCGTGGTGGCAGCTGTGTCCTGTTCCTCTCAGCCTGCCCTTGTGCTGGTCACTCACAAACACTTCTGGAAGCCTCATAGGTGCGGTTGCAGTTTGTTTGAACTATTTAAGGCCCCGGTCTCAGAAGAAACAGAATTGTTTCCCTCTGGCTGGAGTTCCTGCAGCCTGTGTTGTGTCAGAGGTGTTGTCTGAGCCGTGGAACTCCAGCCTCGTGCTGGGTAGTTTAGTTGGCCCCTAGAAACAGAGGGGGACGTGTGTGATTGTCCCTTTGGCAGCCTTGCACAGGTTCAGGAGTGATATAAAGTGACACCATTGGATGGTCATAGAATCACAGAATCACAGAATCAGCTGGGTTGGAAGGGACCTCCCAGATCATCAAGTCCAACCCTTGATCCAACCCCACTGTGGTTCCCAGCCCATGGCACTGATGCCACATCCAGTCTCTTCTTAAAAACCTCCAGGGATGGAGAATCCACCCCTTCCCTGGGCAGCCCATTCCAATGGCTGATCACCCTCTCTGCAAAGAAATTCTTCCTAATATCCAACCTAAACCTCCCCTGGCACAGCTGAAGACCCTGAGCCCTCTTGTCCTGCTGAGAGTTGCCTGGGAAAAGAGACCAACCCCCCCCGGCTCCCCCCTCCTGTCAGGGAGTTGCAGAGAGTGAGGAGGTCTCCCCTGAGCCTCCTCTTCTCCAGGCTGAACAGCCCCAGCTCCCTCAGCCTCTCCTCATAGGACTTGTGCTCCAGTCCCTTCCCCAGTGTTGTTGCTCTTCTCTGGACCTGCTCCAGCACCTCAGTGTCCTTCCTGAACTGAGGTCCTGGCATTTGCTGCAGTTGGAGTCGTGGTTTTGGAACCCCCATGTCTTCCATGGTGCTTCTGCATGTCCTGAAGACTGGGGGTGACACCCATCTGAACATTCTGAGGTTCTCCCATGGCTCCTGCCTTCTTCAAGGACAGTTTCTGGCACGGTGATTGTGACATGGTGTCTTTTCCTGGCAGGCTGAGGCTCCTCAGTGAGCCTTGCAGAGCTGCTGGCTTAGCAGGAAGCCTGGGTAGTTTAATTGGCCCCTAGAAACAGAGGGAGACATGTGTGATTGTCCCTTTGGCAGCCTTGCACAGGTTCAGGAATGATATAAAGTGACACCATTGGATGGTCCTGGCATTTGCTGCAGTTGGAGTCGTGGTTTTGGAACCCCCATGTCTTCCATGGTGCTTCTTCATGTCCTGAAAA